CTGCTTTTAAAAATCTGTCCTTGTCCTTGATATTTACCATTTTAATTATTATATGTCTTGGTGTTGTCCACCTTGGGTCTGTTGTGTTGGGAGATCTGTGGAGTTCCATGGTCTGAGAGATTATTTCCTTCCCCAGATTGGGGAAGTTATCAGCAATTAGTTCTTCAAAGGCAGTTTCTATCCCATTTTCTCTCTCTTCTTCTTTAGGTACCCCTATAATGTGAATATTGTTCCATTTGGATTCATCACAAAGTTCTCTTAATATTCTTTCATTCCTAGAGATCCTTTTTTCTCTGTGCCTGTTTTCTGTATTCCTGTTCTCAAATTTCTATTCCATTTACTATCTACCTCCTCAAATCTGCTTTTTAATCCCTCCATTGTTTCATTTCAGTTATCTCCCTCCTGAATTTGTACCTTAGCTTTTGAATATTTTTCTGTAGGTCCATTAGCATGCTTATGCTTTTATTTTGAATTATTTTTTGGGAAGATTGGTGAGTTGTTTCACTGAGCCCTCTTTCTGGTGTTTGAGGGATTTCGGTTTGAATGTTTCTTCTCCCTTTTCATAGTCCTGTTGCAATGGGAGTAGTCACATGCAAGTGGCCTGTGTGTTAGCTGGGGGAGAACAAAGTCCCTTCCTGCTTGCCGGTTGCAGTGTCTGTCTCCATTGTCTGTGCTGGTTAACCACATGAAGGGAGCAGCCTCTGAGTTAATCTCCTAAACTGCCATGAGTGGGGTGGCCCTCAGAATGGCCTAAGGCAATGGCAATGGTTGCAAGCAAGCGGCATGGATTCTGCCATGAGGACAAAGCCCTTTCACACTTCCTGGTCACAGTGCCTGTATCCACCGTTTGGGCCAGTTAACCAAGATGCAGCAAGTGAGGGTTACTCTCCTCAACTTCCATGGGCAAGGTGGCCCTCGGGATGGCCTAGGACAATGGCAGGGGTCACTGGCAAGCAGCACGGGTGTTTGCTGGGAGGGCAAAGCCCTTTCATGCTTCCCTGTTGCCATGCCTGTCTCTGCTATCTGGGCTGGTTAGCCATGTGCTAGGAGAAGCCTCTTCATTAAGCCGTGTAGTTGCTGTAGGTGGGGCTGCCCTTTGGCTGTTCTGCAGCAAAGGCGGGGACAGTGGGTTTGCGCACAGGTGCCAGCAGGGAGAAAGGAGCAGCAGGCTGCTTCTTGTAGTTAGAGGCCTCAGGGCTGCATTGTCAACCAGGGGTATAGGATGCGTGAAGCTCCTGAAAGTTCCCAAACTGCTGGGCTGAGTGTGCCAGGATGACTTTTCTCCATCTGTTCCTTCTCCTAAACCCTTGGCCCTTTAGCAGCCTTCTGACTGTTGAGAAGTCTTTTAAAGCACCTGCTTTTTCTTTTGTTCCAGGGCACCTGGTTGTGGGAACCTGTTCACAGTCTCAGTCTCTGACTTTGGTTTTGTGCCCCTCTAATCTCCAGAGCACCATGCAATGTGGGTCTGTGCTCCTGGGGTACATTTGTAGAGCTCAGTATTTAGCAGTCCTGTGCTTCCACTCCCTCCCTGCTCTGACTTTCTTCCTCCCGCCAATGAGCTGGGTGGAGGGAGTCCTCAGGACCCACCCAGTTGCAGCTTTTTACTTTACCCTTTTCCATGAGATGTTGACTTCTCCCAGGTGTTGACTGGCTGGTGTGCTCTTACTTCCGGTCACTCTTTCAGGAATAATTGTATTTGCTGTATTTTCAAAATATATGTGGTTTGGGGAAGAGATTTCCACCACATTTCTCGCACCACCATCTTTTCTCCTCCAACCTCATTTAAGATTTAAAATTTGTCTCTATGCATTGCTTTAGTCATATCCCACAAATTTTGGTAAGTTGTATTTTTATAATTCAGTTCAATTATTTCTAATTTCTATTGTAAATTTTTTGTTTCCTGACTTATTTATAAAGTCTATTTCTGGCTTAATTTTGCTGTAGTCACAGAATATATTCTAAATAATTTCAAATTTTTGAAAATTGTTGAGACATTATACCTAGGTCACAGTCAATTTTGTAAATTTCCATGTGCACTTGAAATGAATGTATATTCTCTGGTTATGTGTGACTATCAATTACTTCTATAATCACCTTTGTAGAAAATCAAAATATTAAAATCTATTTTAGACACATTTCTTTACTGATGAAAATACATTTTAAATTTAAAATATTTACTAAACAGAATTTCAGAATTTTACTAAAATGTGTACCCATAGTTTTTGTGCTTTCTAAAAATATTTGATACAAATGCTTTTTATCACAGAATTAATCATAATGAATATAATTCAAGTTTTATAATGTTAATTAAATTACCAAAGCAGAATAGAAAGTATTTGAAACATAAGGACTGTAATGTGTGGGATTTTTTTCTACCAAATTCAGATACAAATTATCTCTAGAGCATTTTGTTAAACCTTTGGTTAACTAGTAGTCTACTTCAGACAACCCAGTTATGTCAAATTTCCAGAATATAAAAAAACACACTTCCAGAAAACCTGTCTGAAATTCATTAAATAAAGTTAGTTTGTGGAATATCCATTTATAATTATACTTCCTGCACACTGTTTCCAAGGTGTCATTTGTTAAACTTACTGAGATAAACATACATTCTTTGGGGTTATACTTAAATATAATGGCTGAGAACTGTTACAGATCTGCAGTATCTTTCCAGAAGCAGTTATTTGGCACTCTGAGAGTTAAAGAGGAAAATTCTGGCTCAAAATTGGAAGTCAAGGTGTAAAACATTCCTAGCATGTACACAGTCCAACTGTAGGAAGTCATCTATATAGTTCTCAACTAAAACTTTCCAAAGGATGACTTCATGGGGAAACTGGTGTCATTTCACTTGAATCCACCCATTATATCTATACACTTACACATTATAATACTAGAAAGCTTTTTTCAGTAAAAAACAAAAACTCAACAGTTATAATTTGTCAAATAACATTAATTTTCAAATTTCAAAATCATTCCTGTTTCAAAGCCATAAAGAGTGGGTTTTCTTCTGCCACAATTTCTAGCATTTCTGAAAACAAAAATGCAGATTAAAAAAAAATTTTTCTTTACATGACCTTAACCAAGTTCTCTTGGTAAAAGGATAGATGTTCTTCCAGAACTTACTGACATTCCCCCTAAATTTCTTTTGCTAATGCATATGTTAATAATGTTAGCATATGTTAATATTAGCATTATTGACTTATTATATACATATTTAAACAAAGATATGTAAACAAAGAATCCTGGAGTTATCTTTTGCTTCCTCTTCTTGCGCTATACATCCAATAGGCAACAATAGATTAAATGTTATTGGTACAACCTTCCAAGTGTTTCCTAAATCCTGATCACCTTTTCTTCATTCCTGTGCTATTTCCCTAATACAGGCCTTCACCATCCAGATGGACGCAATTGCCTAGCTTCTGCTCTTCTCCTCTCATCCATTGCATACATTCCTATCAGTCATCTTTTTAAACTGTTTCATGTCATTCACCCACTTGAACATCAATGGTTGGTTCTCTGATATCTTTACGATAGTCTGAATAATTAGCATAATATTTAATATTCTCAAAATGCTAACCCCAACCCAAGTATTCCAGATTTAGTTGCTTTATTTTTGAAAGACCACACATCCTGAGTTCTACTCAAAGGAGTCTTCCCATTCAGCGAATGTACCAGTGACTCATGTGCCACACCTTTGCAAGTGTCAGTGACTTCTATCGGGATGTCCCTTCCCCTGTCCCATTTCCTGAAATGCTCCTTGCCTATATAAATAACCTTGGCCAAGTTATCTAACTTCTGCATCAGTTCCCTCATTTGTAAAAGTGGGGATAACAACAATACCCACCTCCCAGTGTGAGGATTAAGTATAATAACAAATGTACTTAGCAAGGTACCTGACACTTAGTAGGTGTTTAATAAAAGATAACTTTAATAGCTTTACTTATTTACTTACTCCACCCAGTCCCAGCCCACAATACCGGCAACCCCCCCCCCACCTCCCACCCCACTCATAACACTTGGTTCCATGCTATTACAGCACGTAGCACAAACTACTATAATTGGTTGCATACATTAACTCACTAGTCTACACTCAGAAGGGCAGAAGCTTATTTTAAAATCCCTAACTTCCAAAGCTGTGCCTACAAAGAATAGAATTTCAATATTTGTCAGATGAAGAATGAATGAATGAGGTGGTCCCAACACAGGATTGTAAACACCCTTATAAAAGCTGACATTAGTGGTGAGGATGAAAAATGATCACAAATGTCTTTTCTCCCCACTTCACAATACTTGCACAGGTCACATAATTAGTAAATGACAAAGATAAGATACATAGCTGCCATTTGACTCAAGAGCCTTAGTTGTTAACCACAATGGTATATAGTCATTGCATAATGGTAGCCTTAGGAAAGGATTTGGCTCTAAGATTTCTCAGTTGGGCTCAGATATGACTTCTTGAGCTAATTTATTTCTGATATCACTGTAAGCTCTTAAAAGAATGCATTTTCTTGCATTTAGAATTGTAGAATTTTAGCCCTAGCAGTAATCATAGAGACCTAACAAGGAAACCTGAGAGTTGAGTAATTTGTATAGACTCCTATTTCACACAACATTTAACTTGTGCTAAATCCAGCCCAGATACAGGCTCCTTTCTCATATAAAATCTATCTTACTTAAAAGTATTTTTATTTTTTGGCCTACAAAACAATTGTATTATTTTTCTTTTGACTTTTTTTAAGCAAAAATATCCTGTTGGTATTCAGTTCTTAATGGTCAGTTTCCATTCACACAATCAGATTATCTGATGTACTCTATTATTAACTAAAAACTACTCATAGTAGCAAGGATATACATTATAGAAAAACCTGGTATTCACTTCAAATTTAATGGCTTCAAAATGTATATTCTGTGTTTTTGGCACTAACACTTTACCCATCTCAATTCAGCTTTACAAATTAATTTGCTCATTTCAGTAAAAGAAAACACACCAAATATAGTTGTTTTTTATTTATGAAATTAAGAGTAATTTTTATTTCAAATTTTTAAATCTTTACATGTTTTCTTAATGACCATTTCATTCCCCCGATTTTGTCCTAAAGCCAAAGCTTCAGTGACTGAGGGGTTAAGGAAGCTTCCCTTCTCAGTGGGGTAGGAGAGAAACCCAGTATTGGGTGTTGGAGCTCAAGTGGGATGAGAAGAGTGTCACAGAGGGGAGGGAGTGTGTGTACGTATGTGTAAATTTAAAATATACACATGTGCGTAAATACACATAAAGCCCCCTAGCACCGTCCACTGAGAACTAATGGGGGGCAGTGACATCCCAATCATAATAATCACATCTCACACACAAATCATGCCTCCTAAATACCAATTTCCACTAAAAGGAGGAGAAATGGCCAATTCCAGAGCTGGAGCAAGGCAAGTATAAGATAAGGTTGGAAAAACCTGTTTTTCCAAAGAAAGTGCTTAAAAAATGATGGCAATATGGCAAAGCAGCCAACTTGAAGGTGCTCCCACTGGGGGCTAAATGTGGGACAGTCTGAGATGCAAAATAAATAACAGATTATAATCCACTGACTAGAAAATCCTGAATCCATACTGATAAATTTAAATTTCGATTAGGAGCAGGATATATACATAGCTTCAAACTGCCTCCCCACAAAATACAAAGGGAAAAACAGTAACTTTACAGTGGGGAGTACCTTAAACAAATGACCAAAAAGAACATCATCAGAAATGGGGCAAACTGAAACTGTGTACTACCTGACCGGGTGCAGTGAGAACACAGAATCACTTCTGTAATATCCCTGCCAAACAAGCACAGCTGGCATCTAATTATGATTAAACAGATAAAACCAAACGTAAGAATGTTTTACAAAATAACTGGCCTGTAATTTACAAGAGTGCTGAGGATAGCACAGGTCAAGGAAAGACTGAGGAAATGTTCCAAGGCAACACATGGTTTTTTACTGGACCACAGAAAAACAGTTAGTGAGACTTGAATGGGGTCTGAGGATTAGATGGGAATAATGTATTGATATTAGTTAGCTTCCTCAGTTTGATGGTTGTATTATGGTTATACAGAATTCATTCTTTCTGAAGATAAAGTATTAGAGGGCAATGGGGCATCATGACAGCAACTTAAGTCTCAAAGTGGGAACGTTTTATTTGTAAGGTATTTACAACCTTTCTGTAAAGTTTGAGATTGTTTAAAATTTTTTTCTTTAAACAGCAGAATGCAGAAAACTAACCAATAGATTCTTACTATTTGTAAAGACTTGATAAAGGAGTTCAATTATCTATAACTCTAAAAACATAATTTTAATTCCAATAACTTTGTCCAATTCCTTTGTCCATTGTGCACATACATGTTCTTCAAAACGATTTAGTCATTAATTGACCCAGAAATTTTTTTCACACGTCTTTCAGAATCTTATATAAACACACACATGCACACACACACACACTTTCTCTTTTTCTCCCCATTAGTTAGGATAGTGATATGTTCATAGATATTCAAAAGAGGTAAGTTATTTGAATTCTGTTTTTTAAAATCAAACAAAAATGTAGGTGTTATGATAAAAATAACTTCTCCCCTCTGTGGCAAAAACTGAAAATACATTCTACTAGAGAATCCTAATACAGAGGCACTTAATATTATAAAGTATTTTCACATAATTTCATGTGAATACTCTGAACAGCAAACAGCATTTGCAAACAATATACTTAGAGGTAGTTTCAGTTTTCTTTAGATCAGCACTGTCCAGATTCTATTTGGATACTATTCTCTATAGTAAAAAGCTAGTTTGATAGAAATGTCACAACGAAATGCTAGAATTCAAAGGAACCAAATTTGTCCACAGAATGAAGATTAAAATGATAAGCCAGTAAAAAGGGAAGGCCTCATTCAAAGGCACCTGACTAGGATTACAGGGCATCCTACCTCTTAAAGTTTAATCTAGAAAATTTGGAAGTCTACCATTGGAGATTGATTGCTTCGAGTTCATTCTATCCAATCTTCACACTTAGTTTATTAATAAGAAGATACTCTGGAAGGGATAAGACATTTTCTTTCAAGATTGCCAGTGACTAAAACAAAAGGATGCCATTCATCTGAGCATAAATGAAACTTAACTCATTTCAGTTCCCTGCCCCTCCAAACTTCTTCTGTTAAGTCTCCAGTGACTGTTAATTCTATGTTTTACTGACTGACCTGCCGGTGATGAAAAACTAATGTAAATGATTTTTGAAAGTCAACTTAATTCCAGTTTCAGACTTTTAAATCGAAAGTGGTTCACTGTCTCTTCAACACAGTAATATAAATATTAGTATATTGGCTAAAATGGATTATTGACAATTTTAATACACATTGCATAGTATATAATATAGAAAAACACATGTTATCAGCAGCATAATGTTGACCATGTTCTAATCCATTCCACTTGCTCAAATATTAGTGCAAATGATTATATATTTGTAATGCATCACTACTGTCTAGCACAAATCTATGCCTTCTGAATAAATGACTTTCCTCTGAGGTTTGCTATTTGGAGTATGAAGTGATATATTCACATTTAAATTGGCTTTGTATGGTGAGGCACACTGCAACCTTCTAAACCACTTAGAAAATGAATGAGTATGGTTAATTACTTGTCTGTCTCTCTCTCAAAAAGTGGTATTAGTCACAAAAACTGATGTTTACTGTTACCTCCCAAATAATAGTGTTAAAGTATATAGGGCCTAGAGTGAAAATATAAATCTTGTTAAGCCCAGGGTTATCAACCTAGCTGCTTCAAATCACCAATTAGAGTTCTAATGTCAGGTTTTTCTCTTATATACACTTGAGGGGTAGCTTCTCACCTAAATCTGGAAAGGGAAAGGACTGATCAGTGGTAGGAATACAAGTTAAAAGATTTAAGGCAATTTTTAAAAGATTAAACATGCAATTTTTGATTACATGAAAATGACTGCCTACTGCAATACACTGAGCACATTTTTTCCCTACATGTTCACTTCAACATTAGCCATTTAAGAACTACCACTGTACCAAGTAATTAATAGAATTGGCAAACTTATGACATTAAAATAGTCTGATTTTGGAGGCAGAAATATTGATTTCTTCACATCTTCCAGACAGAGTTGTCATTTACTCCCATGTTACAAAATACCATACAAAATACCTGAACTCTTCCCATTGTAAAAATTATTGAACAGAAATAGTATTAGGATTATGTAAAATAATACTCATTAAAGAGAACATTTTGATGGAAAGATTTCTATTAGGTACAAACTTAAGATTCATTTTAATTTCATGACCATTTATAAAATTTTAAAAACAAAATTTTAAAAGTATGACCATATATTGGACACATTAAAAAAAATCCAATAGTAAATTAGATACTGACCCTGTATATCAACTTCATAATCTAAATATGACAATAAGAACCACATATTGGATGAAAAGAAAATTAGACTAAGAAAACTAATGAGCCTATCAATGAAAGGACCTATTTAATTAATGCTACATAAGGAGAGTATATTGAACACAAAGAATGAGTGAGAAAGACTTAGGTTTCAATCTGAGTCTTTTTACTACCTGTAGACCTTGAACAGGTCTAGTTAGCCATTTTGTGCCTTGGGTTTTCATCTGTCAAGTAGAGATATTAGTACTCAACTTCCAGGGCTGCTTTGGAATCTAATGAGATTGTATGCAAAGGGCTTAACAGAGTGCATGGGACTTAAGTCAATAAATGTAGGTATAATTATCTTTATTATGCATCCAAATTTTAAAATCACTGTTTTTGCTTTATGTAGAATTATTCATTTTAACAATATGGACTAGTCTTTTCCTTCAAAGTACACAATGTATTTTAGGACAGAGTTTCTCAAGCAGAGAGAAGTACTACAGGTACTGAATGTAGTTAACCTAATTGGATGAAAGCACAGAAAGCTTTTTATTGTCAAATTCTCCATTAGAAATCAGGAGAATTCAGTATGCTTCTAGAAAACATCTCACACTTCTGAGTCAATGAGCAATATATAAGTAATATGCTGAATATTTCTGAATTAAAAAAAAGTTAAACTCTCTCCCAGATGTGAACATTTAAGTCAGTAACAAATTATGCACTCTAAATCTTGCTTATTCTCACCTAACAGTTCAAGCATACCTTAGACATTGCCATATAAACATGACCACCTTAAGGGATTTTGTGGCATTTTATGAACCAAAATCTTTTTAATTGGATACCTGTAAATATTCCCCACCATAGAAGTGAGAAAGACATTTTAAGGAAGCAGTACATTCTCCACTGTGGATCAATCTACTGGCTGATAATTAAATTATTTCACTGTGAGCCACAAGACTGATATTCAGATAGTGAAATATTTAAAGTGAAAGAGGGAAGAAAAAGGTATAAAATATCTCATAAGTTAATCTACTTCGCAGCACGTTTTAAAATAAAGGAAATGGTAGGGATTTGCAATCATGGTGATCTCAAAATGAGGTTAATAATTATCTTAGAATAGTCTGTCAACTGTCTAAAGATCCATTCAGCCATTATTTAGTAATTCTTCGATTGTTAATCTACTGTGGCTGTCATTTTCAGTATTTTAACTTAGGGAAGGTAGACTTTCTTCTTAAACTTGTGTTCTATGTTTCACTTTCTGTACCACTTTATATAAATATACATACTCAAATTTTAGAAAAATAATTTGTAGTAGTTTAGAGCTTATTTTCAACTTCAAAACACTACCTAAATATTGCATGTTAGCTTATATGTAACTGTGGAAAACTGCAGATTCTCCCTATTCAAATGTTGGCTGAAGTTATTAATATACAAAGTTCCATTATCACTACCTTAAAACTTTACCACGTGTTTATGGAAAACATTTTACTTATTGCTCATCTTTTTTGAGCCACAAATTTGCACAAAATTTTATAGTAGCCATAAATATGGAAAATACTTAAAAAATCGGAATACAAAGAATGCATATTGTTTTATACAACAAAAAATTTTTTTCTAGAGAAAGACAATCTGTTTAGGCTGAATTTCTAATCTTGGTCATACAGTCAAGTATTTTTCTGTTAAAAAAGGAAGTGAGAAGACCTATGCTATGAAAAATAAGGAACATCTTAAAAATTTAAACAAAAGTCATTTATAAAATTCAGGATGGATGTCTTTAAATGTAAAAATGGAAATTAAAAAATAAAACAACTGTAGGGAATTTGTTTATTGAGCATTAATGTTAATACTTCTAAATTAAGTATTCACTTGTGAATTTTCTTTGTCACTGCACTGTCAATGGACAAAATGGAAAATACTGTACAGAACTCAAGCACAGAAATAATAATTAACAAAATATCTAAGCAACAGGTATATGCTTTACATTTAAAAAACTAATCCAAACAAAATGATTTGAAGCACTTCTCTGATTTGAAAGTCTTAAAATGTTCTCTCATGTTTTATTTGAGATTTTTCTTTTTTTTTTCTTTTTCTTTTTTTTTAAACAAATTGACACTGTGTACAAAGAGTTCAACTGGCCAGTAAAACTACTGCTTTAGAATTGTTGGCTTTAAGTAACAGAGGTATAATTTGAATTCACATCATAGCTTTGTAAAGTGGCAACAGTACAAGCATATGCCTTTCTCTAGAATCCAAAACCTGTTCTGCCTCTCCCTTGGCTAAAGAACAGAAACTAGACTGCCTTCTAAGGCTGCCGCAGTTTCCTAGAATGCTTTGACAAAAGTTGGCATACTTCATTTCTCTTGCTTACCTTGATAACACTGGGCTAAACAGAAAATAAGGAAAATTCAGTCAACAGTAACTGAAATAGTAGCTAGCTCTGGACCTGGAACTTTTGGTAAAGTTGATAACCATTTGGAAACATATTCTCAAAGGAGAAGTTACTGTCCAAAATTAGGTCAAAAAGGCTATATTAGAGGGAAAAAGTGCGAAGAATGAGTTGAACATTAGTTTATCTGTTCCTGAAAGACTATAAACAGCACAATGGAAGCTGAAATACTATATAGTTAAGAATGCATTCTCGTAGAGCAAGTGTATAAAGTTTATAGAGTAAACGGCCTTTCTAAATTTCCACTTGATGTTTAAAATTTTGTAAGTGATTTATTATGCCACCATATTAAGCCAATTCAATTAACTACATTAAGAAGGAACTGCTTCAGAAATGCCTTGAAAAAGACAATGACAGAAACTATAGATTTGAAAAGCAACTAGTCTTTGCAAAGTTCATCTCCAGACTTAGAATATATAATGTTATCTATCAATTCCCAATTACACTTAACATAGAAGACTACCTGCATATTTAGGTATCCCATCTTATTCCAGTTTAAGTTAGAAATCTTAAAGGATTGCATTGTTGTGAAACATATCCTCATATGCACCATTTAGACTATACCGCACTTTTTTATTTCCCTTACAATATTAAAATAATGAATAAATATGGTGTTTTAGTTAAGGTCCTCTACCTTAAGCGAAATATAAAATAAGGTAGGTCCCATTAACCTCTCACTAGCACTGGCTTAAAATGTTTACCAAATAAGAAATAGTAAACTTTAAGGTTTTTTTTTTACCCAGAAAGCAGAGTATTCTGATCCACTCCTAAAAGCTACATGATACATTTAGATTATAACATTTTCCTTGGAATAGTATTATTGTTGTATCTCAGAAAAAAATCCAATCAACCAACTACAGAAATTATGCTCAATTGTTAACTTTCTCTAGGAAAACCTAAAATAACTTGATTATAAATACCAGTGCTGAAAAAGTTGTTAAAAATGAATAAATAATATATGCAGTTTTGCTGTATTTTGCCATTAATACAAAACAGGATGGGGAACTTTCCCAATGGAGTATGTTAAAGAACATGTACCACAACACTGGTTAACATCTCATTTGCCTTCTGACACCAACATTTTCCAGGATGAAAACAGTGACTTAGTTTCATGGAATTTGAAATTTATAAGTTCAAGAATGGAATTAAAATTCACCTAAGGAGAAAAAGCAAAATATGGCTGGCTAGGAGTGTCCAAATTAAAAAAAAATCTCAAGGGTAAGTACAGCCACTGTTTCTCCACAGTCATTTTTCCGCAAAATGTTAGCTGTGTCATAAGAAATCTCCTGTGCTTTCTAACAACCAAAGCCTGCTGAAGTACAACACATTTCCCTTATATTCAACCTCAGCTGAAATGTCGAGCAAGTCGGGCAGATCTATAGTCAGCACGAAGTTGTACGAAGGAGTGAAGAATATTCTTGTCCAGATTAGCAAGTTGTTCTCCTGAGCAGACTTGTTTTAAATTATCTGGGGCAACTACCAGAAGATTGCAAAGTGCATGCAGAGTATCAAAAAGCTGTAATACCAGTGGAATCTGAATTGAGATAAGAGAAGGGAAAAAATCATTGAAACAAAATACTTCCTAGTTTTACAATTAGTTTGTAAATTCTTCTCACTTGTATATACTGTTAGTCAGGACATACTAATGTCAGAAAATTCAATTCAATTAAAAGCACCTGAAATGTTAAAACCCAAATATTTCAGACATTACCTAAGTTTGCTATATTTTTGAAGAGATTCATATTATGCCAAATTTTAAAAATAGTACAATCATTTACACCTCAATAGACTAGACCTAGGTATCATTAATTTAGTACTTCTCTTAAAATAATTTAAACCCTATGGAAAACTGATTTCAGAGGGATGTACATGAAGAAAGAATGTATTTTCCTGATGTGTGACATACATAGCATTTAGTTATGTAAGTCAACGAGGTCACTGGACTGTGGGGCTGAAATATTGCCTTGTCTAAAATAAAGCATGAAGCAAAAGTGTGTTAATATTGAAAACATTAATTGGAACAGTAATTTTCAGTTAGAAAACGTTAGATCTATCTATCTACAATTATCTACAAAAGTTATAAACTTTTCACTAATGATTTTATGTCAGTACAGATTTTTAATAGCCTGACTTACACTCTTGAGCCTATTTACAAGTTTGATATTTATGAATACATACCTTGAAGTCTTTGGCACATTTCCTATATTCAGCTACATCACAAATTGCTAACATGCCTCCCATACAACTGTAGGAATATTGTTGAAGATGCTCATAAATAAGTCGATGAAAACGTACTCCAAGTTCCATTAAAACTGTATCCACATTCTTCCCATCCATGGAGTTTTTAATCTTCTCCACTTGCTTTCTTACATAAGCACAGACTTTAACACAGGCCTGTAAAATTTTTTCTACTTATTATATAGAAATGTTTATTTAACCAGCTTAGCTAAGGAGAAAATACATACAGTTCCTCATTAATCTCTACGCATAAAAGAAAAAACTTAAGAACATAGAAAGATACACCAATGAAAGCGTTAACATTTTACTCACATTTGTATACTGAATCAAAACATTGTTCTCATCTTCTGGCTTAAAATCTGTTTTCTTTTGTTCTGCAGCCAAGATATGCTTCATCTGTCCAATCATACAATTCAATGTCCTAGGAAATTGAGAACACCATATGTTTAATTCACTTACTTTACATTTACTTTTAATTATAGTATTCATACTAAATCAAGTTAAAATTATTTAATTTAATGATCACCCTAAACTGTTTTATTATTGGTAGACCTTAGATTTTAGAAAAAGTAAATTCTTGATCTTGATATCAAAGAGCTCTTAGTTTTATCAGCTTCCTGCTCAAACCACTGGGCAAAGATTCATTTGCCCAACACTTTAGGGAAATCTTAAAGATCTTAGATGCCTGTCACTAATTTCTTTCTTTAACAGCTGTGTACAGAGAATAGTTAGGAAGGGGGGAAGATAGAGGGCTTAAGAAGAATGGCCAAAGTTTGGAAGAACAGGTGAGAAGAATATGAGTTTCACAGCCTAAATAAAAGTAGAAGGCTAAGACAAATGGTAAGCTGAAAAATGAGAGCATGTGTTTTTAAAAGCACCAATAATGTTTAAGTTACGTGATATTCTCCAACAGCAATCAGCCACACAGTTATAGGAGGAAAAAAGAGACTACTTAGCTAGAGTTTAGGACCTTTGAAACAGTTATGGTTAAAGGAATTGAATTTTAGGGTAATTACAAAAGAGTAATTCAAGAAATGGACTAAACAATCTAAGTACAATAACGAATAAAGTAAAGCTAGGAAAAGGTTATTAGATTGGCAAAAGATAAGACTTGAAGGACTAGAATTCCTGTTGAGGTCTGGAAATAAGTATATGGGTTTGGACGAAAAGAAGGTTATGGGCAATGAGTGGGATATTCAGGTTGAACTTTTTATTACCAATGTTAACAAGGTCTAGTAAGATATGGGAGTGGGTAGCTAAAGTGAAGATGATCAAGAAAGGAATGAATGGGTCACATACAAAAGGTTAAAAGAAAAAATTGTGAGACAGATGCCCAAATCCTCAATAAATGTAGGGGACTAACATAAATGACTGAGAGACAATAGAAATAAGAAAGGGAAGATGAGCTAAGCTTCAAAGGCAAAAGGGTTCAGGCCTGATAGTAGATGAATACTGGCCTGAAGATATCAGCAGGGATGCATGTGAATGCTAAGCTCACTTCTTGGCCCCATGGTACACAGGTAAAAGACAATTAGAAGTTCACATTCAAGAAACCACAACAGATCATTATGCTTTCAACTAGTCATCTAATAGAAAGACTTTGAGACTAAGGGTTACATGAACAGATGAAAAGAAATTATCAAATATATATTAAGAAGACAATTAGGAAATATCTATTTCCTATACCTTTGAAGGCTTTACATATCCAACCTCCCCACTTCCCTAATAAGATTTTCAGGTATTCTGAGGCAAAGCAAGAAGAACAACCTAAGTTAGTATCAGAGATAAAATACACACTTCTTGAAATGATGATAGTAACATATAATGTACATACACATATTATATCAAATGAAGTTCTGTGTATGTGGTTCTAACAAAAGGAAAGACCAGCTTTTAGGGTTTTCCAAGCATGTAATTCTTCAGTAAACTGGTCTCAGTAATTAATTCTATAACATCCTTATTTTTTCCAGTTTTATTCTTTAATTTTATTTTTCTTTCCCTTATTTCACATATTCTATGGTAGAGCTTAATCTTAGAAGATCACTGGGAGGTAAGTTACAAGTTTGTTACTACTAATAAAGTAAAATTCACTTTTTTGTAAATTAGAGTGGATTCCTAGTAATCTTTATAACAGCACTGTAACTTTCATTAAAACATGCTTTCTTGAAGAGAATGGAACAGAATTACAGTAAATAAAAAAAGATATGCCCAAATCTAGAAGTATGAGCTTTAGAATTTGAATCCCAGTTCTACTACCATTAACTGTGTGACCTTGAGCAAATTTCTTAATTTAAGCCTCCATTTCCTCATCTGTAAAATGGAAATAACATGTCCTACCTTATAAATGAAATAACATAGGTAAAGGTCCTTGCAATGTGTGTGGCACACAGAAAATGCTTGACAAATGGTAACTATTATAAATAAATATATGCCTATCATCATATCTAAAGAAGATAGCAACCCAGTACACTTTACCATGTGAACAGGTAATTAACTATAATAAGTACTACAAAATTTTTTTTAATGTAGACTTTGCATTCACGTTTAATGAAAGTTACGTTTAGAAAATTAATATATTTATTTAAAGCATTTCAGATATCCTAAATGAAAATAAAATCCTCTATGTCACTCATATACCATTTTTAAGGAGTTGAGGGGGTAGTTTAATAAAAAAGATTTTCAATAGAATCTGGTTTAAAAGTAAATCCAAATATACTGATTTCTAGAAATAATAAACTTGGGAATCCAATAAAATGACATTTTAGTAAGGATGAAAGCAAGATGGAAAAATATAGTCAAATGTTATAGTGGGATGCTGGAAGTAAGACAGACCTCTTTTTTCTCTGAAAACCATTTTCATGCTGCTCTAATGGTATTTTTACAATTTAAAAAATTGAGAGAAACAGTAAAGCTAACAACTTGCCTATCAATGCCAGTATCCAATTTCATCTCCATTTGTTCAATTATTTCTTTTTTCTTCTGAAGGCATTCAGATAACTTAGGAGAAGAGCTATTGTGTATTTAAAGAGGAAAAAAATCACATTAGTACCTGCAATTTTAAGTTTTCATATTATATGTATACTGCTATATACATTTATAAACACACATGTAATTTTATTTAGCTCACAAATCCAGGAACTGAATTACTACATTAGTAGATTATTTACTATTCACTATACCTAATTTATTACAATATCTATAGTAGGAAAAATTAACCAGTTAAAAGAGAAAGAAGTAGGCTGACAGAAAAAAGATGGCGGCAGCAGAAGTGAAGCAGAAATCTCCTCTCAAAACCATATATAATATGAAAATACAGCAAATACAACTATTCCTAAAATAGTGAACAGAAGTAAGATTGCACCAGCTACTCTACATTTGGGAAAAGAGAACAGAAAATCTACATCACGGAAAAGGGTAAAGTAACAAAGCTGTGACCTAGTGGGACGCAAGCACTCCCCCCACCCCAGCTCACCAGCAGGAGGAAGAGAAACAGAGCAGGGAGGGAGTAAAACCCCAGGACTGCTAAATACCCAGCCCTAGAAATCTACTCCAGGAGCACAAGCCCACATTGCATGGTGCTTTGGAGATCACAGGGATTGAAAAGTAAAGTCAGAGACAGATTCCAGCTGTTTGTGAAGAAAAGGTTCCCACAACTGGTTGATCTGGGGCAAAAGAAAGGTGGGCACTTTGAAAGACTTCCCAACAGTAAGAGGGATGCTAAAGGGGCAAGGAATAACACAGAGCTTGCTGCTCAGGAGAAGGAACAGGTGGACAAAATCGACCCGGCACACTCAGCCCAGCAGGTTGTCAAATTCAGGAGCTTCAGGAGCTTCATCCCCCTGGCTGACAATGCAGCCCCAAGGCCTCCCACTGCAATAAGCAGCCTGCCGCTCCTTCCTCCCCTCCAACAGCTGCATGCAAACCTGCAGTCCCTGCCATCATGCCAAGCCAGCCGGAGGGCAGTCCCACCTACAACAACTATAGCAGCTTAACACAGAGGCTGCTCCTTGCACACACGGCTCACTGGCCCTGACAGCAGAGGCAAGCACTGCAGCCGGGAAGCAGGAAAGGGTTCTCTCCTCCCAGCAAACAGAGGTGCTGCTCGCCTGTGACCCCTGCCATCGCTCCAGGCTAGCAGGAGGGCAGCCCCGCCTATAGCAGCTTAGGGGATTAACATAGAGGCTGCTTCCTGTGTGCAGCCCACTGGTCCCAGCAGCAGAGGATGGCTCTGCAGCTGGGAAGCAGAAAAGAGCACACTTTTTAGGGTAGGAACCGGAACCACTCAACTGCAACTACTACCATCACTCCAGGTGCTAGACAGCTCTGAAGAGCAGAGGTTTTGGGTATTAGAGGGCACCAACTACACAAACCTAATATTTCTTATTAGCCAATAGGATTATGAAAAGGCAGAAGAACCTTGTCAATCCAAAATCCCTTGAACACCAGAAAGAAGACTCAGTGAAACTGAACTTACCAATCTTCCTGAAAAATAATTCAAAATAAAAGTCATAAACATGATAATAGAGCTACAGAAAAATATCAAGAGCTAAGGGACAAATTCAGGA